CGGATACTTGTTTCGGATACTTGCTTTCGGATGCTTCCGCTGTGATATGCCTTTCGGATGCTCCGATGCTCCCAAGCTCTCGGACGAGACCTTCGGACGCCGATTTCTCGTCTGCCATTTTATTCTGGACAAACTGTAAAAGCCGGTTTGGTCCATTCGGTCGGTATTGACATTGACACCCATGCACTCGCAACATACGAGGCCAATCATGGAGCCAAGACAACTTTTTGCTGTGACGTTCGTACTCTTACGGCAGATTATCTACAATCGATCATTATTACGGTTTTTGTCGGAAGTGTCGCGCAAAACCGCCCGGTTGGGACATATTTTAATTCATCAAACCTATATTACATCATAAAAGTGTCGTGATATGACCATGTGCATCCTTGCAAGCCATACATACCCGAGTATGTATGGCGTGCCACCATGAAGATGAGCAAAAAGCCTCAGGCAGCTGCTGGCTCTGGCGTATATGATGATGCTATAGGCCAATCTCTGCAGAGGTCCAAGCGCACCTTCCAGAGGTGGATCAGAAGCCCTAGACTGCAAGACCAGGGGCTGAATACTACCTACCTCAGAAGGCTCTCTCCACTATTAATGATCAGCCTGGCAACATACATGCAGCAAAATCCAACCACCACACGCCAGCAAGCTGCACAGGAACTGGGAGTTGATAACAGTGTGCGACTTGCTGTCACTTGAAGCAGCTGCGAACATGTGCTGTCTCTGCGCAGCTAAGAGCAGGTGAAGCAGGTTGAAGATTGGAAGTAAAGACCACTCATGCAGCTCTAGCTCATGTTCAATGAGAAGCATTGTTTCAACTAACGAACAACCCCTCATTTAGTACTAGGAGTCTTGGTACCTGGCTTGTTTGGATACTCTGCCTTGAGCAGGTAATCCGTAAACTCCCAAATAAAGTCTAACCCAACGTCTCCTACGATAAAGTCTGCTCCAAACCTCTGGTTCTGTTCACCTGGCTGTGTCAAGAAATGGCCATTGTTGAGATTTACCTTCCGACCACGCTCGCTTACATATGGATTGTGCCTCTTGTAGCTCATGAATCTCTTGAAGTCCTTTTTGTCTTCGTTCTTGTAGGCATCAGCAATGTACCCAAAACGATATTGGAACCAGAGCACGTAGTCCTCTACATAGGCCGTAACCCGAAGACCGAGGGTGGGGTCAAAGAAGTGGCGCAATATGTCAGTTTCTCTCGCTTCTGGGTTTTCTGCCAGAATGACAGATGCCATAAGGCGCATGCAGATGTCTTCAGTGGTGTCACTGCTCCCCTCTGCAGGTATCTCCTTCGCATACTCCTGCCACTCTGTTTTCAGCTGCGCCAGTCTTTGTTTCTTGCTCGCCTCATCTGCCGCCATCTCGCAGTATTTTTTGGTTGGTTCGGAAGGGAATGGCGCCTCTCACCGGTTCCAAACTTTCTGCCACCTTTTTTAACCTTTTTTTGCCAAAAGTGTCGCGCGAAACCGCGAGGTTGGGACCTATTTTTTTCGTATTAATCAAATCATTACGACATAACGGTACACTATATGACCAAGTGTATCCCTGTAAGCTATACCTACTCATGTACCATCCCTTCAAGCATGAGCTTGTCACTTTCACCACATGCCACCATGAAGATGAGCGAGAAGCGTGCCTTCCTCAGGCAGATGTTGGCGTCTGGCATGGATGATGATGCTATAGGCCAATCTCTGCAGAGGTCCAAGCGCACCATCCAGAGGTGGATCAGAAGCCCTAGACTGCAAGACCGGGAGCGCAACACTGCGCACCTCCGAAAGCTCTCTCCACTGGTAATGATCAGCCTGGCAGCATAGATGCAGCAGAATCCAACCACCACACTCGAGCAAGCTGCACAGTTCCTGAGAGACGAACACAATGTGCGAGTTGCAGTTTCCACTCTCTCCTTCAAGAAAGCAACCAAGGCCTACTGCGAGTTCAACGAGGCTAGGGGTCAGGCTTTCCTGAATGACATCCAAGCTGATCTGGGACCGCATGTCCTCTCTCTGGACGAGTGTGGCTTCTTCATGAATCATATCCGCGGCTATGCATGGAGCCAGCGTGGGTCCAGAGCAGTGGTAAGGAGACCTGGCCCTAGGGGCAAGAAGTTCTCACTCCTCCTCTGCATCAGCTCCACTGGGGTGGTCAAGTGGAACCTTTACCAGGGCTCTGTGGACGCTGTCAGGTTTCTGAGGTTCCTACAAGAGCTGCCTATGGGCTCCAAGATCGTCCTGGACAACGCTGCCATCCACAAGAGCACCAACGCTCTCAAGCGCAGAGGGCTGCCTACGATTGCAGAAGCGGCAGGCGAACTTGCAATCGACCTGGAGTACCTGCCTCCCTATGCACCACATCTCAACCCGGTAGAGCTCTGCTTCAATATCCTCAGGACTCACATCAGTGGGGTAGCGCCCAGGAACGAGGCAGACCTCAGGGCCGCTCTAGAGGATGGCTTGCAGAAGCTCACCCCCGCCGTGTGCTCCAGACTGTTCCAGAGAGTCCTAGGCCCAGGCGCGTAAAATCTCCGAGACTTTTTTTCTTAAAAGTAGTCTATAAGGTGGCGTTCATGCCGCCTAAGAAGCCCCCAGACATCGCTCTCGAGCACGAATGTCTGCGCTACATATGCAAGCTCTTCAGGGACCCCACTCGAACTCGCGAAGATGTCAAACTCCGTGCTCAGAGGAACAGGGAGACCGAGTGTACAGTCGTAAAGACCAGCTGGAACAGCTTCTGCAAGGAGGCTGCGAAGGCCCTCCCTCTCGAGAGTGTGCTCAAGGAAGTGAACAAGGCCATCTGCGAGGCCTACCTTCTCGCCAACCTGCATGTATTGCGCATGTGTGAGCTCGATAGAGAAGTACCACCTCTCGATCAGTCCTTCTTCTATGGATGCTTGTCAGCCGTCAGTGTCACCGGGAGGCAGAAGAGCGCAATCAAAGACCTCTTCTTCAGGGAGACGGTGGAACTCTATGTATCATCACGCCCCGCTGAGTATGTGCCACCGGACAGCAAGAACCTCGCCTCCGGCTGGTACCAGAATGCAAGCCTCCAGATGGCGACTTGCACCCGAAACTCTGTTGCTACGAACTTCTACCGGCGCTTCAAGCGATATCTAAAGCACAAGTACTCGCTCGATGGCTCAGCATGCTATGCAAAGATGAGACACATGCTGACAGAGGAGTACAACGGTGATGACCCGTTGGTCCTGGAGTACCGTGCAATGCTTCCAAAAGCCACGACCGGACGAGCAGACTCCACCCCTCACCTTCTCATGCCCATGCAATTCATGTTCCTGCGCTACATGGAGTCGCACCATCCTCTGTCGGAAGCTGAGTTGAAGAAGGGCAAGCAGCTGAGACTCTTTAGCCTCCTTCCCACCAAGAGCGGCTTCGAGTGCAGTCACCTAAAGATGTGCACGAATGGCCTATATGGCTTGTTGAAGAGAGGAGGCGCCAAGCTGCCAGCATTTGGACCGGAGTTCAGGAAGGTGGCAGACGACTACTGGAGACAGCTGTTCAACCTCGAGAAGTTTGAGACGTGCAACAGAAAGTTTGCGGGTGAGATCCTCACGGATGGAAAGGCCGTGTGCATGGTGTTGAGGAAGCCCAAACCAAGGTCTTCCGCTGGAGAGGGGGTGCTTCCTGATCTCACCGGTGACGAGGAGCTGTGGGGCCTTGACCCGGGGAGGAGGCGGGATTTGTTCGTCATGATGAACGAGCAAGGCGAGAAGTTGTCTTGCTCGACGCGAGAATTCTACCACGATGCCAAGTACAAGCTCAGCAACGCAAGGATCAGGCACTGGTACGAGCAGAGTCCTGAGGTCCTCGAAGCGATCCGCAACATGCCCAGCAAGAAAACGCCTGAGAGCTCCAAGCTGCTAGACTACGTGCGCTTCATGCTTCCCCGCCTGGATATGCTCCTGAGCTTCCACATGAGGAAGGGGTTCAGGGGTCTCAAGTCCAAGCGGTACATCTATGCACAGAAGAAGTTGCACGAGATCTGCAAGGGTATCACCAAGCGCATGGGCAAGAGGACAGTCGTGGGGTTCGGAGACTGGTCCAACAAGGACGCTGCCGGGATTATAAGAGGATCACCCTCTGGGCCCGTGAAGCGGCTGGAGCGGGAGCTCCGCAAGCACTGCAGGGTGGTCTCGGTAGACGAATTTAGGACGAGCAAGCTCCACTTCGACTGCAAGACGCAGCTGCACAACCAGTACTCGGAGAAGCGGTGCAAGGATGGGGTGGTGAAGACCGTAAAAGTTCACAGTGTGCTCCACTGCAGAAACAGTGGCTGTTATGGCATGACGGTGAACCGCGACGTGAACGCCGCCCGGAACATCTTGAGGCTGCTCCAGAGCAGGCTGGGAGGAAGAGTTCGGCCGGCTGAGTTCTGCCGCTAGTTTGAGGATTATTCGCGGATACCGGAGGCTTTCGAACCTATAACCCGGCGGTTCGCGGATAGCCGGTACCAGTCCGTACTCGTATGGACCTAATCCGGTATTATTATTCATTTTCCGTCCGAATAAGCGCCCGGTACGGGCGACAGTTTGGGCGAAAATGGTAATAAAGGCACAGTGATTGATGTCGTCGTTGCGAGCCCTCCTTGTCAGAGTTTTTCGATGGTAGGTAGAAGGTGCCGTGGAGATGCACGCGATGATCTGTATGAGTACGTCGTACGAATAGCTGCATGGTGCGATGCCAAAATGGTTGTCATGGAGAACGTGACGGGGTTTGCTACGAAAGACGGTGGTAAACACTTGCAGAACTTGTGCACAAGTTTGGAACATTCTTCATATGTGGTGAAACATACATATTTGACTGCCCTCGATTATGGCATCCCTCAGAGCAGAAAACGCCTCTTCATCGTTGCCCATCATCCCGTCATGACGTTCAATTTTCCCTCGCCTTCCACAGAGGACTTACCTCAGACGATCGGAAGTGTACTGAAAGACAAAAGCGACATAGCCGCTTTTTATTGGATGAGGCCGGAGAAGACCGCATATTACATGAGAAAACACGAGCAAAATGCCCACTATGCGATGTTTGTGGATATTGAACGACCCTCGAGGACCGTGAGGGCTGGATATTTAAAGAATCGCGGGGCTGAAGCTTTGGTCTTGTATGATGATGGATCTTGCAGGATGTTGACGGAACAAGAGTGTGCCGCTCTTCAGTCCTTTCCTACGACTTATTTGTGGAAAGGTCCACGTATAGCAGTCTACACGCAGATCGGCAACGCAGTCCCTCCGAAGCTAGCAGAGCACATCGGTCGTAGCATATTGCAATCGTTCGCGGACTACGAAGAAGATACCTCGGAAAGATTCCACAATCTGGATCTCGTGCCCTCGTTGGAGTAGGCGAATAACCCATAGTCAATCTGCAAACTGCCAGCCGTAGCCACCTGCTGTGGCCTTCCTGCCTGCAATGACGTCCGAAATCTGATTCCTGTGGGCTATATTATTCGCTTCTGCTGCCTCCATGATGCTCTGATAGGTCGCCAGGACGGCCCCGCTCTCACGATCTATCTTCTGCACCGCCTTGACCGTCCCACGCCTATCGCTTGGTGCAGTCTTGTGGACCCAGGTCAGGTTCTCCCGGCTATTGTCGCTGTTCTCGCCGTTGATGTGCTGGACTATGTGATCCTTGCCGGGGGGAGGGCCGTGGAATGCTAGTGTGCAGAGGACGTGGACGCGTGCTTTCTTGCTCAGGGGCCCGTCGGCCACCTTCACCACCTTGTGCGAACCCAGGTCGGTGCCGAAGGTCCTGCGCCCGCGCTTGTCTCGCACCCGCCCCGCGCTGCTGAATTGCATGCCGGCCAGCATCTTGGACGAGAAGCCCTGAGCTATCCCTACGTCTTCCGGTATCTTCCTCCACTCCTCTCCAGGCAGGTCTGCCTGGTCATTTTCATAATCTGCATCCTTCTCAAAAGTATACCCTTCTGTACTTGCGAGTTTCCCTTTCAAGCACAGGGAGATATTGCTCTGAAATAACCCCAACTCCTTTGCTGCCTGAGACTGAGAAGCAAATCTCTTCTTCTCGCCGCTCGCGATGTTGCAGCTGATGATACCCTGACCTTGCACCGACGACCCTGTCATATCTACGACGTTACTGTTCCTGACGAATAACTGTGCTGCCCTAAGTCGCGTACTTCCAAGAAAAGCCGCCCGATCTTGCCCTCGTGCCCAAGCATACCATATTTATACCCGCTTTCGGGCACTTTGTGATTCGGGCGGCCTCTGCTATCGTGGCGAACGTCCGAAGCACGCGTCCAGTCTCTGAGTCCAGCTGGTGCACTGCCCGATTCGACCTCTGATTCTGTCCTTGTTCGTTCGGCGTATACCACCTCAGATTGGAGGCGGCATTGTTCTTCTTGCGTCCGTCGATGTGATCAACAGTGTGAGTGGGACTCGGACGCCGTCCGACGAAAGTCAAGGCACATAGGACGTGGACGTGGACGTGGACTGTCACGCGTCTTTTTTGCCCACCAACGAAGGTGCTCATGTAGCAGTCGCCAGGGAATTTCGAGGGTACCTCCAATCCAAAGGTGCGTCTCCCCATCTTGTCTTGAATGCGTCCGAGATTGCTTATGCGGATCCCCTTCATGATGCCGGGCTGGAAGCCGTACTCGACTGCGAGGTCCTTCGGCACGTCCTCCCACTGCTCCCCCGGAAGGTCCCGCTGCTGATCCATGTATGCAGAAGCCACCTCGAAAGTATACTGCCCCACTCGTTTCAACTTGCCTCGCAGTTGTTTGCCGATGTTGCTTTGGTGAAGACCCAGCTCCCTCGCTGCATGCCATTGGGAATTGAAACTTAGTTTTTCTCCAGTGCCAATGTGTGTGGCGACAAGTTTTTGGCCCAAAGTCACTCCACACTTCGCACCACGCTTGGGATTATCCGCAGATGTTTTCATCGCGTGTGCCTGGCTCGTCAATTCCTGAAGGTTGGTCCAAGAGTTGTCAGTCTTGTCTGCGTTGATATGGTCGACGTGCATTAGGGGTTGAATAACTCGTTGATTGGCGATCTCGAAGATGAATCTATGCCTGTAAACGTTTTTGTCCCCAAGATTTATCAGCACGTATTCGCCGTTCAAGCTCCCCTGAATGAAAGCGCCACTCTTCTTCGACCAGATGCTTCCGTCAGGGTAGCCCACGTACTCCTTTTGGACGGGATGGTGGAGGTACCGACCCAGCTCGGTGGGTGGCTCGTACGTCTGTCGCTTTCGCTTCGCGCCAGTGGGCTCCATCGAGTAAGCGAACTGACTGCTAAGGGAGAGTGCTCTTCCTATATCGACGAGCGCGTCCGAATGTCGCTATTATCAGGTGGAGGTGCTCTTCCTATATCTACGAAGCGTCCGAAAAATGGCGTCCGAAACCATCGATGATGCTACACGAAGACGTTCACGTAGAACTGCAAAGGCTTCGTCCGACCCGTCCGAGGATCCAACCTCTCCCAACACTTGGATCTGCAGAAGGGGCACGTGATCTTGCCCGATCGGACCCACCGCATCATGCAGTCCTTGTGTATCGAGTTTCGACAATCGGGGCACCCCAGCCTCGCACCTTCGGCTAGACTGTCGTAGCAGACAGCACAATCATCCGCCTGGTCTCCGAGCAGCGGGGGTGCCTCGAACGAAGGCCCGGAAATGAGCTCCTCGACAGCTCCCACGATGCGTTCGTAGTTGGCACGCAGGGCGGGGTCGGACACGTTCGCGCTCAGCGTGCTTGGATCCACCGACGAGTCTCTCAAGCGCTGCCGCACCCTCTTCAGCGCGGAACCCCGCAGGCGCGGGCTGGGAGAGACGGTTTCTACGTCGCATCTCGAGACCTTGTAGAGGACGAAGCACCTGTGCTTGCAGATCAGGTCCGGCTCGTGGGATAAGCGTCCGATGGAGTCGGGGCAGTCGCAGTCGAACGCTCCTGCGCCGTTCAAGCCGACCGTGTATACAGACCCCGTAGATCCACTGACCTTGAAGTGGCCGCTCTGCGTGGCCTCGTCGTACTCTGTGTGTAAGACGTAGAAGCGCTCGGTGTACATTCGCTGCAGGCGGCGGAGTTGACTCGGCGAGAGGTTGCGAGCTTCCATCCTAACCCTTCCCGTCAGCCCTAGAGAGAGCTGGCATATATCTTCTACGACAACAAGCGCGGGTGTAGCTGAAGTTCTTAATCGTAACAGGGTTCCTCTGTGTTTATTGCAGACGGATCGTAGCGTTTCCACTTGTAACCTTTCAATATGCCACCGTCAGCCAGTGCACGTTGAAGTGATGCTCGCGCAATCCGCATCTCCGTCTGCACGTGGGCTATCGAAGAGAAGCGTTTCACGACCTCGTTCGTGATCGCGTGAATCTGCTCGACCGGTTCTCCGTTTGCTCGTATCGGCCGTTGTGGGAGCTCACGTCTCGAAAGATATTCCCTTTGGAGCTCCTCGCTGCAGTCGCGCCACATCTTGAAATAATGCCCGCTGCATCTCGTGCCCTTCTTGATAGATGTGCATATCGATGCCATGCCTCGGAGCGGTCCTCAGACGCTTTCTTCATGTCTGCAAAGACCTCCACTATGCGTCGTTGACGAAGATCCAGCATCGCTATGAAGCCTTTGTTCAACGTCTTGCTCTCCACGGTGTCCCCGATGTCTTGAAACGTGTCATCTGACAGCGATCGGTCGAGCTGAGCCCATCTGAAGCCTTTGTAGATTGTTCTCTTCGCAGCTGCTTCTCGAATCAGAGCTGCAGCAGGTGCAGCGACGTCGGATCCCTACATGCTTCTCCGCAACCTGGATACGTTCGCAAGAGCGTCTTCCCATCTTCTGAATAACGCTGGATCTTCGAACCTCGCGCCTGTGTAAACCGATGTTCGTCGGGTGGGACGTAATATGACACAACGATCTGAGGAGAAAGATCTTGTGGTATTGCTTGGGCTGATTTGTATCTTTGGAGTTCCAACTCCACGAGCTGTGCGGTAGTCGCCTGATCGTTGTAAGCGGGGGCGTGTCTCTTGGCGATGTTGACGGTCATCTGTATATCCTCCTCCGTCATGCTGAAAACCTCGCGATGCGACCTATGACCGTTGTGGATGACGTCCTTGAATGCCAACTTCGAGATTTTCGGGTGAGTCTTCAGAAACTCCTCGAATTGTCTTGACAGGGCCACGGGAAAGACCTCGAAGATCTGCATGCCGCCGAATTCCTTGACGAGACCTGGAACTCGGTCCTGCAGGTCCTTCGTGCTCCCGATCTTGATGAGCCATCTTCCATCGTATTGGAGTCTGATGCGACCGAAGTAGACGACATACAGACCGTTGCGGAAGGAGTTGATCAATGCCGTGTGTCGGGCTTCGTTGACCGCACGTTGCGATAGAGCGCCTTGCTCTGCCAATACATCAGCGATCTCTGCAGCTGTCTCTTCCCGAACTCGCTCGATGGCTTTCTTTCCTTCTTCGACCGCTTGACGTAGTTCATAGTGTCCCTTTTCGCGGATGGATTCGATCACTTCAGCGACCCACTTCTGGAAAGGCCTTGCGATGGGCTTTCGAAATTGCATGAGGAGACGGTATAGGCCCCGTTCGGTCAAAAAAATACTTTCCCGACAGCCACCGAGAGTGTTACTCGAGATGACAACCTTCTCATCTTGGTCGAAGGCTTGTATAGAAACCCGTACATTGGTCAAACCTAAGACATCGCCTACATCTTTGGCTCTGAAGAGTGGTTTGGTGTCTTCCCAGACCATCTGTACATCGTAAGTCTTCCCGTTGACGACGAATGCTCGGAACACGTCCATCGTGTTCGAGAACGGACATTACTCCTATACTCCTATGAAATATTGTTGGTCATCTGAACGCGCCTCCTACGATCAGACGATCCGAGCTTGCTCGTCGGTCAAGTGGCACGACAGTAAGTTCAACTTACTTTCCCCATGCAGACGAATTCGTGAATGCACTTGGCCTCTCGATCATGGTATGAGTACGACTCCTGCTGCACCCGCGTTCATCGAGATTTTTTTTCTCAGGGTAACGTATATTCTCGGTGACGGGTCAGTCGAGATGTCAGGAGGATTAACGAATTAAGCAGTCCTCAACAGTCAGCCGCCTCGGTCGAGTTCCACGGACCACTCTCGAGGGCAAACGGTGTAAGTCTCGTGGGGCGCGCTCTCCGTCCGAGCGCGTCGATAAAACTGGCTAGTGGGAAATCGATTAGGGGGCACACGGCCCTCGTCCGGATCCCGCGACAACTTCGAATTGCGGGGACATCCTGAAGCTCGACGCGACCACCTCGTCCGAGAGATCGGACCGCAGGCAGCAGGTTAATCGCCTCGCGTACGGTAAAACAGCTCGAGATTGGGTGATCTGCAGCCAAGCTTCCTACGCCCGTTCCGGCCAGGGCGAGGAAGACGGTTCAGAGACTAGGAGGAGTTGGGGGGGAGTCGGGTAGCCACCGGCATTGAACCCTTAAGGTATAGTCCGTCCCTCAGCGAAATGCTCTGGGCTGTATAGAAGTGCTTTCTTTGGTCGCTATCGGAGCTCAGGATGCCTACCTTACCGGGACACCTCAGATCACTTTCTTCAGGTTGGTCTACCGGAGGCATACCAACTTTGCTATGGAATCCATCGCGCAGACATCAAACGGCACGTGCGATTTAAATCGTAAATCCACGTTCAATATCAGCCGAAATGGAGATTTGATTACGAATATGTGGTTGCAAGTCACGCTTCCTGCACTGGATCAGACGGTCACGGTAGGAGGCTCCACTTCCACTTATGTCAGGTACGTAAATGCGGTCGGCCACGCCCTCCTTAAATCGGTGGAAATCGAGATCGGCGGTCAGCGCATCGACAAGCACTTTGATGCCTACTACGAGATCGACGACGAGCTCACGGTCCCCGCCGAGAAGGAGGGTGGACTGCGGGAGATGATCGGCAAGTACAACGAGGCGGACAACTACGAGGGCGGGCAGCTCCATACGCAGACCGGCCAGCGCACGTATTATATCCCCCTCAAGTTCTGGTTCAACAAGCTCCCTGGCAACGCTCTTCCGCTTATCGCGCTGCAATACCATGAAATTAAGCTTAATGTAGAACTGGCTCCGGCAGCAGCCCTGGTCAGGTCAGATATCAACGTGGTGACCCCTACCTCCAACGGTGCACCCCTTTCTCTGATCGATTGCTCTCTTTACGTCGATTATATCTATTTGGATACGGATGAGCGCCGAAAGTTCGCTTCCTCGTCCCACGAATTCCTCGTGGAGCAGGTACAATTCACGGGTGACGAATCGATCCCTGCCAGCATCTCGGCCAGCACTCAGAAGATCCGGCTGTCATTCAACCACCCCGTGAAGGAGCTGATCTGGGTAGTGACCCCAGAGAGCTCCGCAGCCGTCAACTCCAAGACCGGAAATATGATCTTCGATTTCGGCGAGGTCGCAGGCGTGGACTACGTGCAGAGTGCGAAGCTGATGCTGAACGGGCACGACAGGTACAGCGAGAGGCCCGGCACATATCACAGGTTGGTGCAGCCATATCAGCACCATCCTCGCGTGCCCAAGAAGCACGTCTACGTGTACTCATTTTCGCTGGAGGCGTCATCTCATCAACCAAGTGGATCAACTAATTTCTCTCGCATCGATAATTCCACCCTATATCTCACCTTCCCGCCGAATATGGTGGCCGCAAGGTGCAAGATTATTGCCATTAACTTTAACATTTTGAGGATCATGAGTAAAATGCTGCTCGAAAAAGCACACGGCGCAGATAATTCGGGCTCTTATCTGCGAAAAAGCCGTTTTGCCCCCGCCGGTTATACAGCCGACCGATGGCCATGTGCTAGTGAATATATGTTTGCAAGGTGTGCTGGTAGCAGGGAAGCCCTGACGCCGACGACCCCAAGCGGCTCCTCGCGAGAGGACCGTGGCCAAGACAACCACTTGGGTATGGGAAAAGTTCGTCGGATGCGCGAGCGAGAGTCTCGACGATGGGTGATCCGCTTGTTAGGTCGACCGAAGCGCTACGACGAAGCTGCGGTACGATCAACGTCACAGGTCGCAAAGCCACCCGTTCGCAGTGAGGGCCTAGTCAGCCGGAGCGAGCGCAAGGGACGATCGGTCCGCGGAGGAACACTCCGCGGCGGAAACGGGAATGGCTGGTCTCGCCTACTCCAATTAAGTCGTTATCCATCGAAATCTCAGCACGGGCACTGCGTGCTGAATAAAAACAATATTCACCGTTTCAGATCTGAGTCATGCCAGTGACTCATTTATGAGACCTGCGATGCGAAGAACTTCACCCGTTGCTGAGCTTGATGCTGTGCACCCTCCCAATCTACCTGATCGTGTTTCTCCCTATTCTCTTTCGCCCACAGCGGTTGCATGTTCGTGTAGTGGAGACACTGCTTCTGTTGCTCATCGTCGCTCAGGTCGAAGGAGGCGACTGGTCTGATGTGATCAATGCACCAACCGTCCGTCGTTCCGTAATTGGTCCAGTTCATCCCTTCTTCCCATTGGTTCTCTATCCAGGCCTTTGCGAAAGCGTGAGTGCATCCGAGGAGTTCCTCTCCTTTGCTGGACTTCTTCACACCGGGGACTCTCTTGAATGTCGTCTTCACGTACGAGCGAAGGGCTCGACTGAGACGAAAGTTGATGTTGGCCTCGATCATCTCCTTGTATTGGGCCTGCCTGTGAATGCGACAATCTTCGCACCAGCCCGTCCCATCCCGAACAACGAACTTGTCCACTGGATAAAGCTTCAAGCAACGGGCGTTATTGCATCTCAAGAGGCCTTCTTGCAGTGCTTCGCCGGGGGAAGTTGCGCGTTTCTTCTGTTCTCTCATCTGATCTTTCGCCCGAACGTCGTCGCAACATGTCTTGCAATACGAACGCCTCGACCCGGGAGGCACTACGAGTTGACAGCCTTTGTTGAACTTTCTGCGTATGTTGTTGCACGGGGTCTGTCCCCGTTCCTTGATGATGTCAAGCTGGCTGTGTAACTTGAAGTGCTTCCCGCAATACTTTCCACAGGATGCCTTAGTCCTACAACGCTGCCCCGCGCGTTCGTTTTGCGCGATCGTAGCTTGACAAGTATTCATCATGATCTTTACCTGCCTGATTTCGGACGGGTGCAACGCTTCCTATATAGAAGGGAAGTGACTCGCGCCCGAAGAACGTGTCCGAACAATGCGAGAGTGGCCCTGTCTGGTAAATGTCAGCATCCGAAAACGTTTCGGACGCATGTTTTTCGGGTGCTTGCTTTCGGACGCTCATTTTGTCGCGTGCAATCTCCTTCTGGACAGACTATAAAAGCAAGCTTTCTGCGTCTTCCGGCCTCATAAAAAGTCAACTGTCTCAACCATGGCAAGCTCCTCATCTACGGCGCTCATCGAGGTCAAGGATGGTAAAGAGTCTGTCTACGCAATCGTGGACAAGGAGGACGAGGACCGCGTCAGGCCCTTCTGCTGGAGGTATGCCACAGAAGGAAACAAGAGCTCCAAGTATGTGGTCAAGTCCAAGACCCTGGAAGACCCTTTCACCAGATTGAGTCACATGGTAATCGGACAGCAGCCAAAGGGGTCGGACGTGGTAACCTTCGTAGATGGCGATCACCTCAACCTCACGAAATCGAACTTGAAGATCTGCACGCCTGCAGCTGCACACGCGATGAAGAAAAAGGAGGCTTCTGGAACCTCTGCATACCTGGGCGTCTTCGAGATGAAGGAGGGTAAGCCAGAGAGGAGATGGCGCGCGACTTTGAACGGCGAGGTCTTGGGTTACTATCCAGAAGAAGCCATGGCCGCCTACAAGTACGACCTCTGCAAGAGAGCATATGGAGACCAGGCGCACTTGAATGGCGTCGAGGAGCCGGAGGGTTTCGCAGACATCGATGCAAAATCGGGCATCAAAAAGCAGCAGCGATTCCCGATCAAGCCGAGTGGGAAGAAGTTCTTCATTCACAATATGAAGAGGAACGGTCAGGTTCTAGCCAAGGGTACCTACGAAACCTTCTCGGAGGCCGAGGAGGCGTGCGAGAAAGCCCTGGCAGAGTACGTCAGGACTCAGAGAGAGAACCTCGTGATCTCGCGGAACGAGATGGGAGCAGCGGTGTTGAAGGCGAAAGTCACCCGCGAGCAGACAATCGATGTGCTGGTAGACGATGACGTATTCGTGGAACTGATGGTCAACGATGATGGCAAAGCGACCGGACTCAGCGCGAACAGTGCCCGCGGGGGAAACGTATATTTCAACAGCACGAAGCAGAACCTGAGCGACTACGTGATGAGGAAGAAGAAGACAGTGGAAGAGGTGGACGAAGCTGAGAACAGTGGCATGATCATACATCACAAGAACTGGAAGAACGAGGATAACCGCGCTGAGAACTTGTGCTACGCGCCCAGATCGACGAATTCGCAGTCGACAGGCCCTCAGGTGAACAAGAAGAGGAAGGAGAGAGACACAGAAATAGTCGGATGCTCGAAGGTTGGAGACAAGTGGGTGGCCCAAATCAGAGACCAAGGCATGAAGGTGCATCTCGGAACATTCGAGACAGCCGAGGAAGCGGGTCGAGCATACGACGAGGCTGCGCTTCGTATACATGGTGTACAGAATGCTCCTAGGCTGAACAATTCAGGAGTAGGAGAGACTTAGATTCCGAGATAGAGACAAACCAGTGAAGTACATTACTCATATTGAACTCATGTAAATAGCAGTACGCGAATACTTTACATCTTGTCAATCACTAGTATAAGGCGAGACAAGGCTCAACAGGCCAAGACTATTCAGTTTCTTTTCCTCATCTGCCACTGACTATTCACAATCTAACTTAAAACTCTTCTTCTTCTCCATTCTCATCTTCATCCTCCTCATTCTGCTCATCTTCCTCCTCATCCTCCTCCTCCTCCTCCTCATCTTCCTCCTCTCTCTGCCTCTTCCTCTCTTCCTCCTCTGCCTCTTCTCTCTTTCTCTTCTTCTCTTCTGCCTTGACCCTATCGACTTCTGCCCGCACGACCTCATCAACCTCCACGATCTCATCCAGAGTGACCACTATGTCCTCCATGGGAATCTCGTCGATCGGCTTCTTTCGAAGTTCGTCTACGCTCTCCACCAGCAGCTTCCACTCCTTCCACTGCGCGTTATTCCTGTACGCCCCCAGGAACTCGATGTCGTTCTTGAACGCCTTGGCGTGCGCGAAAAGACGGGTCAGCTGGTTGTTGAGCCGTCATTCTCGCACGACCTGAACGACTAGGTCCTTTGCAAGACTACCGGTAGCAGAATAAGAGACGCAGTATTTGTAATTTTGTGTAAAATACGATAACATATGCGACTATCACAGTTTTCCTCTCGTATAATGCTTACCCTGTGCGTGCTTCCAATACTCATCACCGTAATCGCACAGGATCTCTTGGTTGTGTCTGATGTTTCTGAGAGCCACCAGTTCCACTATATGCTTTCCACCTCTCTCGCGTATCCTAAACGCCGCGTTCTCTTCTCTCTCGTTCCGAGGAGCGTTGGCTATAGCGCCAGCACCTCTCCTGCATGCAGCATCTAGCACTATTCCGCGACTCAGACCGATCGCATATGGTGCCGTGTCGCTTCCGAATCGTCTTGTCAGTTGAGATATAGTGAGCCGTTCGCCTTCGTATCCTGTGATGGTTTTGCGTGGCTTATACACGATATCCCTGCCTCCCTTCTTGCTCCATGCGAATAACCCCTTGCCTGCTATAGGCGACTTCTTAATCTTGAGACCGTGTTCGTCGTCCTTGCACGTCATGAGATGTTGCCAGCAAAAAGGTAACCCTATGCATACGGTGCGTGTGCACCGGCGTCCGTCCTCGAGCTTCCCAGCACAACCTTCGCACTTCAAGTCGCAATCGAATCTCGTTCCGGACTTGCCTCGGTAGTGGAACGCAAACGACATGCTTGGCGAAAGTGCATATCTTACTGCCAACATAATTCGAACGCGCGCGTCGCAGATGCTCGAAAGTTTTAGGTGGATCTCTCAAGGCGAACATGAACCTCGTCCGACTACTCTGCTGCTTCCAGATACCAGCGAAAAGCGATGCTTTCGAGTACGAACCGCTCGAATCGTACGAAGAGAAGAGGCCGAGTGCACCGCCGGCCGCCTCGAGCCGCGAGCCCCCTTCGCCTCCCATCCCAACGGTCAGAGAGACGGTCTTCGCGAGCCCCCTCGTCGAGGTTCGAGTGATGGCGAGCGGAGATGACGCGAAGCCGAAGGAGAAGGACGACGCACGGAAGTACGTCCGGGGCGAGCCCGTGCGAGAAAAGGCAAAGGTTCCTGCCCCCCTCGAAGTGGTGCCGTTCGAGGGCGGAACGGCCACCCTGCCGTGGTCCAGATTCGAGAGGGAAGGAAACACCATTCAGGGTGGTGTTTCGAAATTTCGAAGTTTCCCTTGGCCCAGCGTCAGCTCCAATGCAAAGAGTCCCGAGATCCCAAATGAATGATTTTCGTGGCTATATAGTATGCAGAGATGGATGAGAAACGCGAGACCATCGCGCAAAAGCCGCCGAAACCGGTCGAGCCGCCTCTCCCATCTCGCGTCGAGAAGCCACTCCCAGGTAAAGCGGTGCTCTCAGAAGGCACCCCTCCCTCAGAAAAGGCATCGGAATCGCATTCGATCGGAATGTCACAAGGTAGCGTGAAGATAGAACGTACGTCGAGCTGGTTCTCTCACATGTGGAACTGGTTCATCTCGGCTTGAGATTTTATTCTCGAGTGTAAATTAACATACTCACACATCAATCGGACATGCCTGAAGACATTCGCTTCGATGAGAGGCCGTGCTCCGTGAGGAAGACGAAGAGTAATAACGCGTGGAAGAAGGACGAGCTGGTCGTGCTGGCACGTGCCTCTGGATTGCCCAACTGGACCACATACAAGAATAAAGCCGCGCTGTGCAAGGCTCTGGCGATGAAGCACAGCGACGTAGACATGACCAGACAGAAGACGACGACGAAGAAGATTCCAACCACCAAGGTGCCCATCGGCAAAGAAGGTGCTACCCTGGCGAACGTACCGAAGCCGAGGTCTCGACCGTCGAAATCCAAGACGAAAGAGCTCTTTGCGGGCGGTTCCAAGTTCCCTGGCGTCCCTCTGATGCCTCACCAGATCGAAGTCGCAGAGAGGATGCTCAATCCTTGCATCCGAGGGCTCATCCTTTACTTTGGAGTGGGTTCCGGAAAGACGCTGAGCAGCATGGCAGCCGCAGAGGCTCTCATGAATCATGGGATAGTAAAGTCTATCGTGGTGGTCACCCCTGCGTCGCTTATAGCAAACTACAAGAAGGAGCTGAGCAAGTTTCACGCCAAGGCCGACAAGTACAACGTCATGTCGTTCGAAAACTTCACGAAGAAAGCAGAAGGAGGTACGTTTCTCACCAAGGACAAACTCCTGGTAGTGGACGAAGCTCACAACCTTCGTAACGCCGCTGGGCAGAGGTCCAAGGCCATCTTCGCACAGGCCAAGGGTGCGACGAAAGTGTTGCTTCTGACGGGGACCCCGGTCCAGAACGCTCCTTCGGATATCGCACCGTTGGCAAACATGCTCAGGAAGCACAACGCCATACCAAATACAAAGGAGAGCTTTGATGCTCATTTCGGAGCGACCGGTCTGGAGAGCGATCAAGCGACCTTGAAGTCAGCTCTGGAATGCTGCATGCTATATTACGCACCCTCTTCGAGCGACCCAGAGTACCCTTCCATATCCACGGAGAACGTGGAAGTCAAGATGACGGAGAGGCAACGGCAAGCTCAGCTCGACTTTGCGAATGCCAACCCGAACATCGAGCTCGACGACATCGTCCACGAGAAAAAGAACATCATGACTTTCTTTTCGGCTCCCCGACGGACGGCGAACATCATCCGACAACATGGTCAGCCTTCCGACGCCCCGAAATTCGTCGAAGCGCTGCAGCGGATAAAGGCCGCCCATGCGAAAGGCGAGAAGAGTATAGCTTACAGCAACTTCTTGGAGGCTGGGGTTCAGATCCTCTCTGACATGCTCAAAGATGCGCACATCAAGCATCTCATGGTCACGGGAAAGGAATCGAAAGCGAAGAAGCAGCAGGCGATCGATGAGTATAACGCAGGCCGAATCAAGGTGTTGTTGCTCAGCTCGGCCGGTGGAGAGGGACACGATCTCAAAGGGACGAACCACGTGCATATCATGGAACCGGCATTCAATTCGCCGCGTGTCGAGCAAGTCATCGGCCGTGCGCGGCGCAGAGGGTCTCACACGGACACTCCGAAGAAGCACGTGACCGTTTATAAGTACTATGCAATCATGAATGCGACGACGTCTCCGAATGCAAACGGCTTTGGCATGCTACAGAATTGGTCGGCCGATCAGATCTTGAGACGTTTCAGCGAGACCAAGGACGAGATCACTCGCAAGTTCCTCAAAAAGGTCCTGGACTGGAATGCCGTTGCGAAGCAAAAGTGCTTGAAGTGTTAAAAGAGTCCAGGCAACCCTTCGTCATCAAAGTACGTACATTCGTCGCAGGTACAGACTTCTACCCGCATGGACTCGTCCTGAGAATGGTATTCGAGCTCAACAATGTAGTCTTCCTCCTCGTCCGACTCTGAATCCGAGAAGTACAAGTTCTCCGGTGCAAAGTCCTTATCTCCCAACTCGTACCAGTAAAAGAACCCCAGGATGTCGATCACCAAGCCTCGATTCGGGAGCACGATCGCATCGTGAGGTCCCACTCCTCGTATCTCGATCGGGTCATCTGGATATAGTATCACAGCCGTCTTCAGGAGTGCGTTCGTGAGGCAGTAACCACCTCCGATGAGCACCAGACTCTCGTAAGAATTCGATCGCGGTCTGCACTCTTCCAACAATCTCGAATGGAGCATCTCGAATATCGCAGAATCCGGATCCCGGTATGTCTTTCCACAAGCTCTGCTCATGCTCGCTTGAAAGTACTTTGCAGCATTATCTACATGTAGCAAGTTTGCGGTTCTCTCGGCCGCTCTCTCATCTATAATGTCATCCCATTGATCGTCTACACCATCTTTATACAGGTTCCAGATGGGATCCCCTCGCTTCCAACGTGGAAGCCCATCAGCATCGCACCATTCCGACAGATCCTCCTCGAGCTGTCGTTGCACGACTGGTGTGTCCCATGCAGCCTTGAAGACATCGAAATCTGACACTAGATCATAGTAAGACCATTCCATCTTGGATGATTTGGATACACAAGTAGGACAACTCCTCTCCCTATAACGGAGCACAATGATTTGGATACACAAGTAGGGCGACAACTCTCCGTATAACGGAGCACAAAAGTCTGCGAAAGCAACGGACAACTTCTCGAGTCTCTGTCTCCATTTCTTACACTCGCATCCACTCTCGAATCTACGCCATCTTTCCTACTTATCTTCTTCGCTGACGAGTTCGTTATCACTAGCAGAATCTACCTCTACATAGCTCAGTCTTCGCCCGCCGTTTCTGGCCCTCTTCTCACGGGGAGGAAGGCTGCCCGTGTAATGCACTCTGAACTTTCCGTCATCCCCTTCATCGTCCTCCTGCATCCAGCACAAGCTTCGCCATGAGAAAAGATGAAGAATCACGGCGACATACGCTAGATCTGCATCCAAAGTGCTGCAAAGGGGGCTTTGGCACGAGCAAGGGCAGTTCCTCACTGACACTTCGTCGTCAGAATCGTCCGAATCGTCCTCCTCACGGGCCTCTGAGTCTACAGCGTCCTGCAGCAGATGAAAAGAGTATGAGAAACTAGAGGTTCTGGATGTCCGAAGCAATATGACCGGCTTTGCATCCGAGCCTTCCATTGTCACAGCTGCTTCTCTGACTTGTAAGACTTACCTCTCCTGAGAGGTCTGCGTCGTCGATGAAGTCGTCGTCGTCGCCCATGTCCGTTTGCAGAGCAGGCTCCTGAAAAGAGAGGCGTGGAAGTTGCTGAGTACGTTGTCGCAAACTTTACAAATCACATAGCTCCTCTTCGCCACCAGGGAATCTGAAGGCAACAGGCAAGGGGGACATTTCAGTGGTTCTTTCGAGTGCCTCACCTCATATTCGTTCTCCCCGGTCCCTTCCCTCAGGGCGTCCCGCACCTCTGCCTTCAATTCCTTCAAGGTCGCATCGTACCCCTTGTCGGCGAACACCTTCTTGAACTCAGCTGGATCGGTGTGCATGAGCGCCCGGAGGTCGTCGAAAGTCTCCTTCTTCAACTCCAGCGCCCTCAGCATCCTCAGGATGTGCTGCCGGCAAGTGCTCCCGAGGACCGATTTGGAATCGTGCAGCTTCCTGTTGCAGAGCCAACACTTGGAGAGCTTGGCCAGGGGCTGCGCCCTCTGCACGCTGACTCGGACGGGCTGCGAACACGTGGACACGAAGACCTGCTCCCGATGCTTGTCCGGGGCAGCGACGAGGCCATCTAGGGACTGCTTACCCCATCCCCACTTTCCGATCTGCACGGAACCGGCCAATGCCTCCCCCAGGCTCTGATCCCATGCGCTCTGGTAAAGATTCTGCTCGCTGCACGGGGGCGTCTCAGGGTGGCCTCGTCAGGGGTTTTCTTCAGGCTCTTCTCCGGGAAAACGAGACGGGCATAGATCTCCGAGACACTCGGAGGGACCTCATTGCTGAACAACTCGAAGAGGACCCTTCCCACCACTCCCCGCAGGCGCTCCCCGGGAACACGATGCCACATCTCAGGGTTATCCCCGGAAAGGCAAGCGAGCAGAGCTGCGACCTCCTCATCAGACATGTCATGCTACAAGTCATCGGTGCAGGGCAATATCGAGGCCCATGCTAGTTACTATCCTTTTGCTAGCGTCAAGTAATTTCGACCGTCGATAATGAGTACGAACAATCTGAGCCGTAGATGAAGTCGAACTTTCGAGATACCTACAATTGAGCTAGTACTAGGACCTGCGAGTGAGTTGCTGAGGCAACTCTTTGTATGTTTGCTGATACACAAGGAATAAGTGTTGGCGCCTTTCATGGCTGCCAATTCGGTGTCCTCACAGCAGCCATAACATTGAGTTCCGTGTGATGAGTTCGCACGTTAAACGGAGCTAAACATTACATACAAAGAGTTGCTGCAGGTAGTACTGTGAGCAACCTGCAGGACAGTAGCCCAAAGGGGTTCTGAGTTGAAGCCAAAGTCCAAAGGGGCGGAGTGAGAGCTCAAAGGAGCCCAGCTGCAAGTCCAAAGGGGCAGCAGTTCAGTCCAAAGGGGCGGAGGAAAAGCTCAAAGGAGCTGCACTTTAAGTGGATCAGCCCAAAAGGGCCGGTGGTTCAGCATAAAGGGGCGCAGCGCGCGTCAACAAGCTGAGGTGCCGTGCGCCAGAAATTCAGGCTGAGGCGCACGTCGCCAGAAGAGCAGCCTGAGGCACGGGGATTGTGGCAGAGCCCCCCAGCAAAACTGCTGGTGCGCAGGCCGCCAGGCAGGAGGCAACGCTCCAGCTGTGCGACTGTTGAGCGCGCCATATTAGAGCTCCCCACGCGAGTGAGCTCCCGGCAGGCCCCCCTTTGTGTGTGCGCCGGTGGTTTCTGTAAGCGCCTCCGTCAGGTGAGCGCTTGTATGTTGCACCCCGCGGCCGAGCACAAGGATAAAACGGTGAGACCTGGTTCGGCACCTCAGGGAGGGTGTTCACTGCGTGCTTTTCAGCGCCTTATCTTTCAGGATCATTGTCAGCTGCCCGCGGCAAAATGGGTTTGTCCGTGATTGGTGTGTTTCGCTGGCTTGCGCTCGTCCACTTGGTAATGATCGGCAGCGAGTATGGTGGGGCAGCCCTGCTTGCGGGGCCATCGAGCTCCGTTGGATTGTTCAGTGGGCGACCAGGCACCCAGTCGGTTGAGGATTTCGAAGACAGACTGCTGGCTGCTTATGCAAAAGCGAAGTCTAAAGATAAAAAGCTAACTGAGGCGGACTTTCTGCTTCAATTGCCAGCATATCTTGAGCATGAAGCGCTGCAGCTCTGGCGCAAGCGCAGGAAGGATATTCTCACAAAGCCTGAGGGCGCCTCTGACAGGGACTGGGATCCCATCGCTGACGTTATTGCGCTCTTTAAGGAGCACTTCGGCGTTGCTAGTGCAGCGAAGGTGCGCGAGCTGCAGACCTTGAAGAAGCGCGAGGACGAGACCTGCAGGATGCTAAGGAGCCGTCTGGAGCGCCTCGCTGAAGAAACAGGTTTGCTGAACGCGCGTGAGCAGGCAATGACGTTTGTGAATGCCCTGCCGCCTGCTTTGCGTGAACGCATTGAGCCGATCCTCTGGGCAAAAAGCCCCAGTGGCATTTATAGCCTGGATGATGCTGCGCAGGCTGCTGAGCGTGTTGAGCTTGCGCAGGCCTATGCTGCTGGGATGCGCGGGTGGGCAGAGGCTGGCCCGCCTAAGACCAAGCATGCATCTGCTCATGCAGCCAGCGCTGCCGACTCCTCTGCTTGCTACAGGTGTGGGCACCCCGGCCACCAGGCCAACAGGTGCCCTGGCACGGACAGCCGCTGCCAGGCATGTCACAAGCGCGGTCACACCGAAGCAGTTTGCTGGACGACGCACCCTGAGCTCAAACCCGACTGGACGAGCGATGGTAAGAGCAGCGGTAGCCAGGAGCGAGGGCTTTCCCAGCGCCTGGATGCGCTAGCAGCTCAGGTCGAGAAGCTGACCCTTCAAATGGCCACCCTTGTGCAGGGCCGCCGGGTTGGCAACGCGCACCAAGCTGCACTCCCTGGACCCTCCGCCGGCTCTGATGATGAGGGCGCTGGCGCCCTAGACTCGACGCCAGCTGCATACGGTGCATTAGGTGCACGACCGCCGCCCACGTATGATCTTGAGCGGGATTGGCAGGTCGTTGACACCAGCGACCCCGCGTATGTGGCTGCATCTCACCAACAGTATTTGCAGGCCACTCAGACTAACAAGGCGCCTGTTTCAGCCTGCAGTCGGTGCCGCATACAGTGCCCAGGGTGCCAAGCACCCGATGGACGCAGCCTTTGAAGATGAAGAGTACAAGGCCCGTTGCGCGGAGTACGATGCCTACCGCGCGCAGAGGGAGAAGGAGGAGGAGGGCCGCAAGTGGGCTGAGAAGCTGCTAGATGCTTGGGAAGAGCGGCAGCTCAAGCGGCAGGACGAGTAGAATAGGCTATGGGTAGGAGGTGGATTGCTGTGCCGAGACGGCACAGCCGGCTAA